TCATCCGAGTCAGCTCTGGTCGTGTCTTCGCGGGCAATTGGAGGTGGGAGCCCGTGTCTGTCTCAGTTTTCGAGCGGGAAGGGCCCTCTATATGCCACGTACCAATGGTCTGAGGCGGGTTCCAAAGCCGCCGACGAGAATTAAAGCTATACAGACGTCAGCAGTGGCCCGAGACGCAGCCGACGAGAGAAGAAGAGGCCCTGCGTACCCTTCATGGTGGGCTGTTGGTGGTGTTCTGAGAGCTGTCTTGAGAGAAAAGGAGGGCGTTGCACGAGCAGTCGAACAGCCAGATGGTGGTCAGGAGAGGGCCAGGAAGAGGAAACGAGGAGACCGAGATCTACTCGACGTCGTGTTGCCTTTTCTTTATACTCGCTGCCGGGTGCCGGCGTTGGTGCTCAGGGGCTTGAAAGACGAAGAGTAGTCCTGTACGTGTGATTTGCCTGCTTTGGGGGGGGGGATGTTTGGTGTTTGTTCGCTTGCTCGCTCGCTCTCTCTCTCTCTCCCGCCAGAGTGAAGTATAAGTCAGCTGGGCGAGGGCGACGGTGCAATAGGGCAAACCCGCGGCATGGCAAAGCCAAAATTTTCCAGTGCAAGTGGAGATGAAGCGCCCCTGAGGTACTTCTGGATACCTGATTCTACATATAAAAATACGCGGGCAATGATGTACTTGCAGGTATCGACTACCCCCTGGCCACTCCCCAGAGCGTCGCGGCCCTGAAACCGACCCAGGGATCCATACAACTGCTCTATCAATCGAATGAGCCGGCGCCAGGGCGGTCCACCGTATCTCGAGGATTCGCAAGCCTGTCCCCTGGGGCTCTGTCGTTGGTGGCGTGTCCTGACAGGGCAGAGTAACGGACAGGCAGCTAATCGACAGGAGAGGCAGACTGGCCGACAGACAGGAGCGAGGATGGATTCAAAGGACACGGTTGTATTAATTGAACACGGGGTGAAACATGCATCGAGATGATAGGTTGCGTGATGTCCCACTTGATAATACTATTCGGCTACTACGTGGGGTTTAACTCTGGGAACTTGGTAGGAATAAGGGAGGGAATATGGAGTACAAGAATTAGAGTAGAGAGGATACAGGGAAAGACAAGGTCAGGCTTATCGTTGGAAAAGGTTTCAATTATTTTGAGTAACTAGTATTATCCTTGAGTGTCTGGAGGAAGCTGGTTGACCTGTTCACGGGCCGGTCCGATAAAGTCGAGCATCCAGGACCTGACTCTGGCGACTTTTGCCATCTGCGGGTCATGGCTGTCTGTGGCAGGGCCATCTAGACGCCGTCCTGGGTAGGGACCCTCAGAGTCCATCCCATCGACACGTCTCCGGTGCAGCAGATCCAGGCTGGTCAAGTTGTTGCGCAGACTCTGCCCATATACTTGGCCCCGGAAGGTTCCCAGCGCTACTGACCGGAGGAGGACGATGTCACATGGGCGGACTTCCTCCAGGGACTCCTCTAGCGGGCTCTGCTTCGTCTGCTGCTGGTGCTGATGAAGATCATCTCGCGGCGGAAGCCAGCAGCTAATACGAAATCCTGATTTCGTTTCGTCCCCAACCAGCAGCTCGACCAGGTCCATGGCTCGTCCCCAGCGAGTGCGTACTCGACGACGCTGCTCGACGGTGATAACAGCCACTATTAGGTTGACTGTGACAACCCGCGGAGCTAGCCCGTTGACATATGCTGCCTTTGGGATATCCTCAAGGTCGCTCAAATGGGAGCGGACGGTCGATCGAAGTTGAGAACCCGTTGGCAGCAGGGATGAAGCGTCGCCTTCTGGACTGTCAATCAAGCCAGTAGTGGAGTCGTCGTCACCAAGGGACCTCGTGTCATCATTAAAAGAGCCAGATGAGATGCCTTCATGCAGTGCAAAGGACTGCTCATAAAATGCAGACAGGGCCGTCGTCTCGAGCCCGCTGACGGACTCGCCGCTGTATCTCTGCACGGCGCCCGCTGTAAAGAACCATTCGCCCTCGTCGATGGGGGCTGTCAACACCGTAGTCTCCCTGACCCTCCCCAGGCTCCTCCATCGAGCTTCGTCCGCTGCGTGGTGCGTCTTGCTGCTGGCCGTCTCCAGCTCGTCTTCCTCCCAGCACAGAGAGCTAGGCACTGGTGCGCCCGTCAGGATGATGTGTCTCTGGGACATGCTGAGCACAGCATCGCCAGCTCCCCAGCTTTGTAGACGCCATTCGACTCATCGTATCTCCATCTCCTTCTCCTTCTCCGTCGTCATTATCATCGTCGTCTCGTGTTGATGTCTCGATGTCTTCTTTTTGCTTCCTTTGACGTCCCTGAATAAAATGTGCTCGCTTAGTCAGCATCCGGAAGTGGCAACTCCAACGGTTTTTCTTCAACTTCGAACATCGCGAAAGCCGCAGAAGAAAAGAGGGAAAAAAAAAGACGAAGACCAGGAAGCAAAACAGCGAAAACGAACCCTGAGATCAGCCGGCGACGGGCATGGCTGCTATCATCGCCCTCTACCTAGCCGTGTCTTGCAATCACATCTAGTCCTCCTCTGCCTCTTTTTCTGTGCGAAAATCGAGCGGTTGAGGCATGGCGTTCCACGCGCACCTCGGCCTCCCGGTAAGTCGACGTTACGCCAGCTCTCCCAACGACGGACATACAGGCTAACGATGGCTGTGTGTGGGTAGAATATTGCGGCCGTGACCTCTGACCTGTGGCCGTCAGTGTCAAATGTGCTGTCGGCGCCATGGGGAGGCCGCCAGGCAGCTGTCTCCGGCTCGCGTGCGTATCATGCGTCATCGGTGAGAAGGCCAGGGCAAACGGCACGGAACGACACACCTTGCTCGGTAGGTCTATATACAACTGCCTATATCTGGGATGAATGACGGCTCACACGTTGTGTTAGGCTCCGGTCACGCTGCCTGACGGACTTGGGGTAGATACGCTCAGAGCAGCCGCGGAACTGAACCTTTCCCTACGCCACCAGTCCTTTCCCCCAACAATGTTGCTACAGGGTACGCAGTGCACTTCTCTTCGGGCTTAAAAAAACAATGTCTGACAACCTGACAATCACTCTAGGTAGCCGTGCAGCTAGTCTCAGCTCGCAGCTCTCTCGATTCGCAACAACAAGACGCCACCATTCAACTCTACCCTTTGCCCAACTCAACCGTCCATCTCCCATCCCCAAACCAACCGGCCTGTCTCCGCTCCAATGTCAAAGGTACCTCTTCGGAGGGTCATCACAAAATGTCCTTGCGCGTATGGAAAGATCTGCAAACAACAACCCCGGGAGTGCTGCCGCTCAAAACTCTCTCTACAATGCGCTGTTAAAAGCAAACATGCCCGGAATCATCATTGAACGGTACCGCAGCGGGAAATTCGCTAGTAACTCCCTGTCCGAGGCTGTCTATGCAAAGGCTCTCCAGAAAGTTGGCAGCGGCAGCGAACAGGCCCTCGGTCAAGGCCAACAGCAGCAGCAACTCAACCCCGCAAATCAGAATTTGAGTGCTGATCAGCTCCAGGCCATCGGCCAGGCAGTGGCTGCTCGCTCATATGGAGGTCAAATCGGCATATCCAACAAGAATAGCGGCACGGGAGCCAAAGATACCCCCCTCTATGTCGTTGTTGACGAGTCTCTCGGCAGCTCCATCTTCCGTTGGGTTAGGTTCTTTCTCTTTTTTGGATTCATCACATACTTTTCGCTTCTGCTTGTTACCGTCTTTGTGGAGACTACTGGCATCATGAAGAATGTCAGAGGCTCGCAGGCCAACGAAGCAAAGCCGGAACACCAAACCGTCAGATTCAGCGATGTTCACGGCTGTGACGAGGCAAAGGATGAATTGCAAGAGCTTGTCGAATTCTTGTCTAACCCTGAGCGATTCTCTTCCCTAGGCGGTAAACTCCCTAAAGGTATACTTCTCGTTGGACCTCCCGGAACCGGTAAAACTCTTCTTGCCAGAGCTGTTGCTGGAGAAGCAGGCGTTCCCTTCTTCTACATGTCTGGCTCCGAGTTCGACGAGATATACGTCGGTGTTGGAGCTAAGCGTGTCCGTGAACTGTTTGCCCAGGCCCGTGCCAAAGCACCAGCTATCATCTTCATCGATGAACTTGATGCCATTGGCGCCAAGCGAAACGAACGAGATGCAGCCTATGTCAAACAGACTCTCAACCAGCTTCTCACCGAACTCGACGGCTTCTCCCAGACAAGCGGTGTTATCATAATTGCGGCAACAAACTTCCCGGAACTCCTTGACAAAGCTTTAACCCGACCTGGCCGGTTCGACAGGAAGGTCGATGTTAATCTTCCCGATGTTCGTGGGCGAGTTGACATTCTGAACCACCACATGAAGAACATTCAAGTCAGCACTGAAGTCGACGCTACTGTCATTGCTCGTGGAACTCCCGGATTCTCTGGTGCCGACCTCGAGAATCTCATCAACCAAGCTGCTATCCGCGCCAGCAGGGACAAGAAAGCCAAGGTCGGCCCCGAGGACTTTGACTACGCCAAGGATAAGATTTTGATGGGTGCGGAGGCCCGTAACCGCATGCTTAGAGATGAAGACAAGTTAAAGACCGCGTACCATGAAGCCGGACATGCCCTTGTTGCTTATTTCTCGCCTGATGCCATGCCACTTTACAAGATCACCATTGTCCCGAGAGGAGTGTCGTTGGGAACCACTCATTTCTTGCCGGAGATGGACATTGTCTCAAAGGATTATACTGAGTATATTTCCGACATCGATGTCTCCATGGGCGGCCGGGCGGCTGAAGAACTTATATATGGACCTGACAGAGTTTCCAGCGGTATCTCGGGTGTAAGTTTTTTTCTTTCGTTAATGCTTTACCGTTTATTAACCTAGTTACAATACAGGACATTCGAAGTGCAACACAAACTGCCTTTACCTTGGTAACACAATATGGTTACTCTAAAAAGCTAGGCAACGTCGACTTGAACACCGGTTACGACATGCTCTCCGCGTCAACAAAGCAGGACATCGAGGATGAGGTACGCCGTCTAGTTGACGAAGCTAGCGCTCGCGCCTCGGCTATCTTGAAGGAGCATCGCCACGAACTCGAACTCCTAACTCGCGCCCTGCTCGAGTACGAGACCCTAACCAAAGAGGAGATGGAGAGAATAATAAAGGGTGAGAAGCTCGACAAGATATTAATGCCTTCGAAGACGCCGATAAAGCTACCGGAAGCCCTGACTTCCGTTCATATAAATCCTGTCACTGGCAGCACCTCTACCTCAAAGTGAGCTACAATGCGCCTTGGAGAGACAGACGACCAGCCGCGATCCATCAAAATCAGCGCCCCATAGTGGAGAGGATTGGAGAGAGATAAATTGTGTTTCTCCAAGCATCAAAGCTATATTTTTGATATGTGTATTCTCCAACTACTACTACTGCTACTACTAGTATGATTAGCAAGCACTTACTGATACATACTGCTATCTCTGCTGTGTGATCGAATGACATCTTCTCTTGGATCCGCTTCAATCGGGACGATCTCCCCCTACCTCCTCTTCAAGCCTCTTTCTTTCCAAAATATGAGGCCCGGGAATGTTCGCAACCAGCCCTTCTTATTTTCTTTTTCTTCTTTTTTCTCCCACTCTCAAACCCCTGTACTCTTCCATTCCCTCCTCATCTATTCGATATATACCTACGCGAGACGCCACACTCGGACTTCATTTTCTCATGTTTGTCCGAATTATTCCCTCCGTCCCTTTTGTTTTTCCCCATTTTGGCTTCCCCCATATGCAATGTGGGAAAGGCTTTTTTGAAATGTTAGTCTGTACTCCGCGTATTCTTACTCTACTCGTGTATAATTGGAATAAATAGAATAAAATGCGAAAAACTCCTGCCGAAGCCCATATCCATTAACGAACAGGTGAAGAGCTGCTATAAACGTTGCTCTTGTCTTGCATCATCTCCTTGAGTACCCAGGAGTACCCAGTCAGCTAGTGTTGGATATAAAGGGGTAACTCCACCACCCCTCTGTCCGATACCTCTACAACAAGATTAACATGAATCATGACAGGAGGCAAAAGGAACGGCCCGTCCGACCCGGCCGATTCAACCTTCCTTTCTTCCTCAAGCTCCGACACCCATTATTGTACCCGTCAGTATCGTTTCTTCAGCTTCATTATTGCTCTCAGTTAAAGGGAGGTGGGGGGGGGGGGGGGGGGGGGTTGGTCCCCTGAGTAAAGATAGGGCTCAGCTGCGTTGCCTTGCACTACGCATGATCTTGACCCTCGCTTCCCTGCAGTGTAACTAACAGACGTATGTCATCAGCTTCTCGCCTAGTTTACCTGGTAGATCGATCGATCTGTGCACTGTTGACTTAACTAATTAATAGCAAGTACGGAGTAGAAACAGACCCAGCCCAAGGTCTACTTTGGAACACCTGGCTGAAGCCCAACCAGCTCACTTCCCCTTATAGAATATGCATACTGGCAGTTTTCCTTGCGGTTGCATCAAATAAAGATGAAACAGATAACCATCCTTGACCTTTAAGATGCCCAATCCCGAGAAGCTATGAATCACTTGAATACTTACTTTCAATCAAGTATCGAATCAGCCCCTAGCTACTCCGTACTTGGCTGTCCTATTTCATTTCTTTTTTGAAGTACTTGTTAGACCTAACGCTGAGCTGTGATCCGAGTGTTTCTGTCCAATGCACTCAATTTTAAAAGGCCTGGGTACGCGGACCACTCTGACGTTTTCTAGGAAACGCATTCCCGGTATACCCATTAGATAAAAACGATGCAAGGCGAATGCATGCTTTCTGTATGTCAGGAGATCAGTACACTAATGACATGCCTGGGACCAATTACTCCTTAGGTCCGGTCGTATTTTGTATTGGTTAACTTACCAGAGCTAAAAGCGCACAGAATGAGCACGGCCTAACATCTTCCATGCTCCCAGGGTATACCATATACCACAATCACAGCCAGATACAGAGATTGACACAGAGAACTGCTCCGTACCAGCGCAGCTAGTCCCGAATCCGATGTGGCTTGGAGAAAAAGCCGGATCTCCATTGCATCCATGCATATCCTCATTCTTCCCCTTTTTAAACTTCTGGTCTACTTACCCCCCATTGCTTTTTCCTGGTCCATATAGGCTAACATACTTCATTCTAGCCCGCATCATACAACCATGTACTCTGTACATCCGCCCTGTCTTTGCAGGTAGGGGAAGACGCAACAGTTCTTCCTATACGTAGGCGGCACCGGCAAGCAGAGATCTTTATCGGAAGAACCATATGTTCTAATGCAAGAGGCTTAACTGGGCACGTATTCAACGTCCCATTTGGGTAAAGGGCCACCGGCAGCTGTAGAAACGGACGAACTAGAGATGCAGTGCATAGGCGAAGTCCATCTTAGGGAGGTAGATATACTCCCCGACTGGGTGTATCCATGCTCGGCTGGTGGGGTTGAACTTCCAATGCAAGCCCATGCCATCACGTTGGTAAACAGGAGCGGCAGGGAGGGGGTTTTTTTGAAATCAAACTCGTGATAAGGAAATGTTTGAGAGAAGATATCGGCAGGTGGATTGACTGCGGGCTGAAGAAGAAGCAGCCTCCTGAGAAGGGGGGGGGCGGACCGCCTCCGCATTATGCAGATAATAAAGGCAAATTGTTCGGGGATGTGGTGAAAGCAAGGGAAGAGGATGATTCAAGAAAAAAAAGAAAGGAGGAGAAGAAGAAGCAAAAGGAAAAAGAAATCAAACATGTTTTTTGCGGCGCATCTTGACTGGACCAGTCGATGCACGGTGTTTATATCAGGCGCTTCTTTTAAGGCCTGTGCGTGCGAGATGCGTCGAGATTGATATATCAACGATATATACTCTTCTGCGGTACACGATAACGAGGCCGTTAGTTACTTTCATATAGTTAGCCCTGGTAACTTACGCAAGCTGTCAAAAGAACCGAGACGAATCTGACAAGTTTCAAAGCGGGACAGGCAATATCAAGCCCACACACCCCCATGGCGAGAGAGAAGCAAGCCGAAATCACTTGAATCTGTGACTATCGACTAGTGGCCATGAAAGTAGGCTGTCACATCACCCTCGCAATGCTGGAGATTGAAGTCCATGGGGACATAATTGATAAACATGGACGGGGATCTCCCATGCCAAGTGGATGGTTCTTTTTTATCATGATGGAGACATGACCTGCAGGAGTTTTTGGTTATTCTTGCCCGATAACTATATGATAGCTCTGTATATACGCTCATATACAGAGAGGCACCAAGATCACCAAATAGTTATCGGATTTCCATTTTATAGCCAAATACGTGCCAGACCGGGTCCTTTTTGAACAGTTAGTTACCGCGTGTCTCACCCATCAGAGAACAATACCAGCGCGCCTGTGGCCTTTCTTCTCGTTTCCCCAAGCGGCCTGGACGCAGCTGGCCAACCTTCTCCTCGTGCTCCCCTCTCCTATCGCTCCTTGCAATATGATGTATCTGATGAGACCCACCAGTGGGCAGACAGTAGTGCATGGTATTGGCGACAGGAACCAGCGGCGCAAACCATGCAAGGGCTGGATGATGAAGATAGCAACCGCTGACTCTCTGAACGGCTCTTAGAGGGTTTTAAGGAGCGCTTCACGGCGCGGGATGTGTGGGGCGCTGGCGAAGGGTGATCCTTCGACGGCGCACGTAAACAAGCCATTTTGAGGTGGGATGGCATAGTCAAATTAACGGGAGTCGTTGTTACTTCAAGCCCCCAAAACTGATTGTTGAGAGACGAGCAATTCATTTGGCCAAAAAACCAACTGTTGTGACGTTATCGGATTCACGAGGCATGCAATATCTTCCGCACGTAGCTATGCACTGCACGTACGAAAAGAGGAAAAAGAAATGAACTTCCAAAGCCAATAAATGTATCAGGTAAAAGGCGTGTTTCCTAGACTCTCTCTTGACAAATACATATCGAGCTTGCTTGCGATCGACGGTCTTTTAAAGAAGATATGTTCAGGCTGTGCCTCTTGACCCCAAAGCCCAGACCGTGCAAGGGAGGGAAGAAGAAAAGGTAAAAGTCAATATCAACTTGTAAAATGTATGCTTTTGCCAACCAGCCAAAGAAGATTAGTTAAGGATGCAAAATTCCAACGCCGAGAAAGTAAGTGAATGCCCGAGTCGAGGCCGCCCCTCCACCGCACGAGACCATAACAAATTTGGGTTCATCATCTTCTTCGTCTTCGTTGCTGTTGCGTGACAGTTCTCCCATAGAGACATTGCGTAGTGAACAGAGTTGCAAAATGGGGGGTGAATATGGTATCGAGGCGCAAGCAGATCCCCCGACTTTCGCACTGTACGTTAATAGAAACAGGTCCTGCTGAGGAGAAGGAGGATTTGGGCAGGTGAAGTGGACGCTTGGGTCCGTGGCTCTCTATTAGGAAGATTGAGAGGCAGCGGCAGATTGCTCTTTTTTCCTGCAGTCCCCTGGATTACACAATAAACAGGTTAGGTATCAATTGAATATTTTAGAGAATGGCCGTATAGAGGGACTGGTGTATCCCAACAGAGATGGGGGCAGAGGGAAACATCAAAATAATCTGTTTAAAAAAGGAGGTAATACCGCATTTATCCCCAGGCCGGGTCTCGCTATACCCAGAAGTCGCGTTAGTTCCCTCCTTGTATATTCCAAGTTTCAAATACTTGAAAAAAGCTCCAGGCGCAAGCATACCTTGCAACGATATTTGGAGGACATCTTTTCTGTGTTTTCTGATACACGACA